TTTGACACATACAGCAATATCGTTTGCACTCTCGAGCCCAATCTTTCAATTGGCACTGATCTCGTTCGGCACGTCTCTAGGCCAATGTTGGTCGGACCAAGCGTGCTAGAAACGCGACAGACTCCATTGAAAGACTCAAGAACATGATCTTGCCAATTCGGCTCCATGCCTGGCCGTGAACAACTACGGGGCCTGTGTGCAACATTGACACTGCACCCCGGCACGACGAATTTGATCAGCAATTCTGGCCAATGACGACACACCAAACCCAATAGATCGAATCGAAACCATGCGGACTGGCCGCGTACTGCAACCACCCAGCAGTCCTGGCATACTGTCGACAGCCGCGATCGCCCACATCTCTCCGGGGGCGAATGATGAACCCGATTGTGCCTGCCTGAGATGAGCCATTCACATCTATTTACATCGATTTCGGGTATGGTACCCCCAAACCAATTTCGTGGGCCTGGCTTCGCTGATTATTTTCTTCAGGTCGTTAGGTTTTCTGTTGGCGGGAAATGCCCCACACAAGAGCCCTGATAGTTGCGCTGAGACTGAAGGTGTCTGGTTCCAGCTTGGACTGCCAAAGCTCCAACGCAACCGACAACGCTTGTTGCCACTCCCACTGGCGACTGCACGCTATGGTGGCACCCGTCAAACTGTACCGGTCAGGTTCTATTTTCTCTTGCTGCATTTCCCTGAACAGTGACAGCGAAGCTTGCCACTCTTTAGATTTCCCACACGCCGTGATTGCAATGTTGTAGTGGAGAATATCTAATTTCACCTTTCCTTGCCTCGCCTCACAGAGGAGCCACAGAGCCTGGTCCCACTCCTCGCCCCTCTCGCACGCACTGATCCCAGCCCCGTAGCTGATGGCGCTGGGCTCCACCCTCGCCTCCCGCATCTCGCTAAACAGCGACAGGGCCTGCTGCCACTGGCTGCCTTTTTCGAGCGCGCTGACCCCAGCGCTGTAGCTGAAGACATTCGACTCCACCTTCGCCTCGCACATCTCGCTGAGCAGCGCCAGAGCAAATTGCCACTTCTTGCACTTCTGGCACGCGCTGATCCCAGCACTGTAGCTGAAGATGTTGGACTCCACCTTCGCCTCACACATCTCGCTGAGCAGCGCCAGGGCCCGCTGCCACTGCATGCCCTTATCGCACGCGCTGATCCCAGCGCTGTAGCTGAAGATATTGGGCTCCACGGTCGCCTCACACATCTCGCTGAGCAGTGCCAGAGCCTGCTGCCACTGCTTGCCCTTATCGCACGCGCTGATCCCAGCGCTGTAGCTCACTAGTGTGAACCCGTGGATTAAGTCCACGGCGTGCTGGACCTGGGACTCGCACACCGTGGGTGAACAGCTCGTCGAAGTTGACCAGCTCGGGCGTCCCTTGGGCCGTGTCGGGGGTATGTTGGGCCCTCCTACGAGCGTGTCTGGGGCGTCGTGAAGGCCTCTTGCGGATTTTGGGCGCCTCTAGGGCTATTCCCAGGCTGTCCCCCAGGGCCTCTTCTGGGGGACAGCCCCGGAACCTTGTTGTACGTGCGTGCTGTGGGGTTGCTGTCAGAAGGTCCCCCAAGTCACCCCTGAGGTTCAGTTCGCTGCAGGGTTTGCAGCAGGCTCCTGGAACCATGGCTGGAGGCTGTCTTCGAATATCCCGGGCCGGGAACGGCGCCATCTCGGAGTGATCCAGGGAGGGATCTCGTGGTCTTGGGGCTGTCTTGGGGGCCACTGAGGGCTCTACTCGGTCGTATGGAGGGAGCGAGGTGCTGGTCCCCGCAGTGTCTGCAGGTCCCCTAACAGGCGGAATAGAGGCCCCAGAAAGACCGGAGCCTCGATGAGAGGAGGAGGAAGATATCAGAGGAGAAGGTTCCCCTGTTACCCCTGATCGGCCGTAGGGGGAAGTTCTTGAGGGCGACTCTGGACCATTTCGGCGTGGTCCTGGGATCGCTCTTGGTAGCTCAATGGAAACTATGGAAATCTCTTCCAAGGATCGCTCTTGGGAGCTCCGTGGGAACTGTCGGAGTCTCTTGGCAAGCGTCGGAGCTGTGTGGGCGACTCTGGGGCATCTCGGAGTGGCCTTGGGGCCGCTCTTGGGAGCTCTGTGGGGACTATCGGAGTCTCTTGAGAGGCTCTCTCTGGGGCCTCTCGGAGTGGTCTGGGGCCTGCCTTGGAAGTCTGGGGTTCGAGGCACTCGGGTGCCGTGGGGGCCTTGGGGTTCGAGAGGCGGCGAAAAGGTGCAGTGGCTCGAGGCACTCTCCTGGAGAGCTCCTTGGGAACCGTCGGAGTCTCACGGGAGACTCTGGGGCATGTGGGAGTGGTCCTTGGAGTGTTTTCGGCGAATTGGGGGCTGCGGGAAGGGCGTCGTCTGGGCTCCCTTCGGCCCCTCTTCGAGCTCTCGTGGACTTCTCCCTGGAGCCTCTAGGGGCCCTCTTGGCCCATTTCGGGGCCTGCTTGGGCCGTCTCGGGGGCCACTGGGGCGTCCTTGGGCCAATGCAGGGGGTCTCGGGCCATCTTGGAACTCGCTTGGGTGCCGGCTGGGCAGCTCCTAGGGCCCTCCCGGGGCCGTCCTGGGGGCCACTGGGGGCTCCAGGAAGCTGCCTTGGGCTTCTCCTGGCCCTGGGGCCGGGCCCTGGGCGGGGCGTCGGGGCTTGTCGGAGCTCGCTTCTTGGGGCCTCTGGGGGGGGGTCCTGGGGCCCTCCTGTGGGGCTGTCGTGTGGGCTCAATCTGCGGCCGTCCATGGGCAGTCGCGGGGCCTTTGGGGCCGTCCAGGGGCAGTCGGCCCAGTGGCTGGAAGGTCTCGGGGCGACGTGGGGCTGGTGCAAGCCTCGTGTGGGGCCGTTTTAGGGCTGAAATGGCGAGAACACGGAAACCACTTTTCAACACATCACGACTATTGATACATTTTGGCCTCGGGGGACTGTCTCTGGGGTCCGGTTGGGCCGTCTTCGGAGGCGTGTGGCCCGTCGTCGAGCCGTCTTGGGCTGTCATGGGGCTTTGTTCGGGTTCTCTTGAGATGTCCTCCCGCCACCCCGAGCGTCTCGGAGCGGTAGTGAGGCTGCCTGAGGCCGTCTTGGAGCCACCTGGGGGCTGTCTGCAGCCGTCCGAGAGCAGCGGGGCGCTCCGGGCGCTCTGGGGCATCTCGCGACCTTCTCGCCCCAGTCGCACGCGCAACGACTAGAAGTGTAGTACAGACTCATGTTTCTTTGTTTTGTTCTTCCTGCCACAAACTCAACAGTGTGTATCCGTGAGGCACATTCGCAACCGATTCGGCAAAGGAGCCTCGGAAACGTTACGGGGACCTCTAGGGCTGTGTTGGGGCTCTCTCAGGATCGTCTTGGGGGCCTCTTGGGCTAGTGTAGGCCTTCTTCGAGGCCGCTGGGGCCGTCTTGGGCCGTCGGAGGTGCAAGAAGGCGAGGAAGCTGAAATCCTTCAAAAGCCGCAGGACAACATACTTATGATTAAGGCCTTCTCCCTCCTGGCGGGCCTGTTGGAGCCCTCTTGGGCCGTTTTGACGCAATCCTGGGCCGTCTCTGGGCCAGCTTGGACCGTATTGGAGGCGTCTCGGGCGAAGTTGGATGCATCTGGGATCCTCTGGGGCCGTTCTGGAGGACGTCTTGGGCCGTCTAGGAGGCCGCTTGCGGCGCGGCATGCCGCCTCTTGGGCGTCTTGGGCCGTGTCGTCAGCTCGTGCTGGTTCCTGGTTCCTGGTGGCAAGAGAGCACGTCGTTCGTAGCCTCCCCCCCCCAACGGCCGGTCGGCCCTGAGGGGGGCTGATCAAACCAGGGCCAGGTGACCCCTGAGCTCGTGCTCCTGGATCCTCCTCGTCCGCGCCGTCTTCGTGGGGCAGGCAGCGCGCTCGCGGTCGCCCCCCCCCGGCCCCCGAGGGCGGCGGTCCTGCTCAGTCGAGGCGCAGCGGCGCCAGAGAGAGAAGAGGGTGGGGATGGTCAGCGGGGGGCAGGGAAGGTAGTCGCGCTGCGCGGCGCGCGCAGCGCGAAGGTAATTGGTTGCCCCAGGCTTCGAGGTGCGAGGTTTTCGGACGTGTTCGTCGGCTCTCGGCGGCTTCGGGAGGTTCTTTGAACGCGGCGCGCGTTCCAGCGGCTGCGCCTCGCCGAGGGCGCTCCGGGGGGTGCCTTGGTCGTTCCGAACGGCCGCCAGAGACCGCCTTTTGGCCTACGCGGCTGCGGAGAGGGAAGGTGGAACAGTGCAACACGAGGCATGCTAGTGCGGAGGGAGGGAGCGAGGAAACTAACTAAGCTTCGCATTCGTGAATCCGCGTCTTAGGGTTCTCTTGGGGGCCGCTTGGACCGTCTTCGAGGCCTCCGTGACCGTCTTGAGCCGTCGGAGGCGCGAACGGGCGAGGAAGCTGAAATCCTCCCCAAACCACAAGACAATATGATTCGGGCCTCCTCGGGCCCTCCTGAAGGGCCTCTTGGAGCCCTCCGGTCCCGACCCAGAGGAATCTGGGGCCGTCCTGAAGGGCCTCTTGGGCCGTCTCTGGGCCAGCCCGGGCTGTGTACGTGGCGTCTCTGGCCAGCTTGGGGTCCCTCGGACCCTCTGGGGCCCCTCGGCATCGGCATCGGCATCGTCGTTGTCGTCGTCGTCGTCGTCGTCGTCGTCGTCGTCGTCGTCGTCGTCTTAGAGGCTCTCTCGGGCTCTCTCGGCCCGTCCTGGAGGCTGTCTGCGGCGCGGCAGGCCGCCAGCGGGCCTTCGAGGTCCCGCCCGGCCCGTTCCAGGCCCTTTTCGCACGCGCTGCCCCCAGCAATTGCAGTACAGAGGACGTCGGGCTCCACGGTCGCCTCCAACATCTCGCCGAGCAGCGCCAGAGCCCGTCGCCACTGCTCGCCCTTCTCGCACGCGCTGATCCCAGCGTTGCAGCTGACTAGTGTGAGGTCGTGGAAGATCCAGCCGGCTGTGTGGGGGCCCAGTGGCCGGAGCTTGGAGTGTATGCGGTCAGGGGAGGAGTGCGGAGAACGCGTATAGAAGAGCGGGGAGGCCCCGGG